GGAAATGCCTCGTTTCTCCCCTACTCAATGGCACTGGTCGCGATTAGATCTTCAGAGAATTCCCCTCTTAAGTGAGGTTACAGGACCCTTTATTAACAGGACAACCTCTCAAATTGATTAATTATTGCTGAATGATGTCTTTGCATTCTTGCCAGATAACCTTTGTGGAGGTGGAAATAAAAATGTTAGGTACCCGAATAATTTATGAATCACATTAGTTATTTTTCAATTATTTTCTTCACCAAATTTCACTAAATCGTTCTCTAACATAAATGGAGCACAATGACTTGCCAAATAGCACTCTGACTAAATAAATTGTATTATACATATATAAATGAAAATTATAAGCGCTTGGAATCTCTTCAATAGCCTTGAGTTGTTCTTAAATTGCTTGACAGTGCGGGATTGGGCATCGCTTGAACTAAGTGGATCTTAAACTTGTTTTCATTCCAACTAGTTATAGGCAATCAAACTGTTGACAGAAGGCTTCTACGTTTGTTGTGGGATTAGCGGGTGGGAGTTTCTATTGCGCGACTCCTCTCTTTTCCACCATCGTTTTCGAAGTACTTCATCGGACGAAAATGGGCATTACTTTTGGTAGCTTTTGGAGCTACGCCTCTGCACCCTTCAGGGATGGTCAATGCACAGAATTCATTCAACCACTTGTAGCTATAGTATCGGGTAGGCAAACACAAGCATGAAAAGAACTTGAATAGAATGTGGTTCAGTAAGATCGTTTTGAAATCGTTGCGGACGCAGCAATTATTCAAAACTCCATATTTCCAATGGTTTCCCAGCATATGGGAAATATTGAATGCGGTAATTTTTCGCATTTGATGCGCTCCCTCAGCAACAGCCATCCAGCACGAAGTTCTGTGGAATATTCTACAGTGAAGCTCGCTAAGCTTTTAATTTGTGGATTATCTTCGGACAAAAACGCCGTATCAATTACGTAAATTGCCCCTAGCGCATGTGAATGAAGAGGCTGTACTCTCATCTGGCTAAAGTTGAATGGCATATCCTTCGATCTATCTTTAATGGTCCATGGAGAATTGGTGAAGAATTATGAGAAATTCACAGAAAGTCTGGAATGCACATATTGCGCAAGAAGGGTCAGCCGTGGTTGTACAGTCCTCAATAAAAGGGGTTTGCCTCTGAGTTCATTTGGAGTTTGGAGGGGGATAGTATTTAGTGTCGGTGAAAGTCAAAAGATTGGGAAAGGGGCTGGCGTATCATAGGACTACCCCGATACTGGTAATATTAAGTCGGTCAAAAAGTATCCGCCGTTTTGCACCTCGATTAGTCCCCTGCATTTTTTGATAGTTTCTTTCGCAACTATTCAAACAGCTTGGGTGCTCATCTCATAGAGGAAGATCAGCCCTTTCATAATTCATACGAAGGTTCGAGGCAGGGTCAACCGTCCGTTCGAACTGTTCGAACGAAGGGGTCGCATTTTGGTCGGAAGGGGGTCGCAATTTCGAGGACTGCCAGCCACAGGCGCGTGCGTGGCGTATCCGAGGGCAAGAATTGTTTGTGCAGACCGCATTAGATTCGATTAATTATGCACAGAGAGACAGTTTTAGGCAAATTACGGTGTTTTCCTTGAGGAATAAAGAACAGTTGAATGCATCCCTATGAAAGGTTTGACTTCTCGGGGCTGAAATTAAAGTTCTTCGGGACCTGATTTTCTGAGGACGATTCTTCCAGACAACGGTAAAACACATAAGAAAGCAGAAATCTCGTAGTCTTCAAAAATGTCTTCGCCCTCCCCAACAAGTTCTTTGAAGGAAGTTATTATTGCTGAAAGCTCAAAAACTCGCATGTGCTGCTCAAAAACCTATGGGAACAAAATGTTCGAACGTGTGATTTTCTCGGAAAATGGATTTTGAAAAACGGTTTGGTGCTTGTCAGAAAGAGCAAATCCACTTTCACATGAAAAAAGTGCATCACAGAAATGAAAATGAAGTGAGTTATGCCCGCTTAAAGCCCAAAAACTCGCGATTTCAAAAAAAGTGTTCGGCAAAACCCCCCAAAATGTTCGAACGTGTGATTTTCTCGAAAAATGAACTTTGAAAAACGGTTTGGGGCTTGTTAGAAGAGCAAATCCTGTACTTTCACCCCATGAAAAAAGTGCATCACAGAAATGAAAATGAAGTGAGTTATGGTCGCTGAAAGCCCAAAAACTCGCTTTTGCACGAAAAATGTTCGAACGGGACAATTTTTTGAAAAAGGGGACAATCACTAAACTTTTATACTATTTTGTTAGAGAAATATTTGAAGTTTCTGAAACTTTTTACAGATTTCCAAAATGTCGCATACGAAAGATTTTATGGGCCTTCAAAGTTGAAGGTGCGCCTTCTTAGAATTTTGGGTTTTCCACTTCTAACAGAAGTACTTTCCGGAGAGTTAGGCAATCCTTGTAGTTTTCTGGAAGCGCACCTCAGGCACAATCAAAATCTACCTCAACAAGTCAAAAAAATACGTCCCAAGAAAGTTATTCCCCTCTAAAATTTTTTCTTCGCCGCGTCCCGTTCTTCCAGCGCCCGGGTGATACCTGCCGCGCTCCAAGGCCGACGCGACGACGCGCAGACGCTTTCTGGCGCAACGGATTCATGTCTAGCACTCTTATTAACAAAAACAGGGGGTCGCAACTGGACCCCCTCGAGAGCTAGGGGGTCGCAAAAATCCCGAAAATGTTCGAACGTGACGGTTGACCCTGGTTCGAGGTGATTCCGAGAACATTTGTCGTTTTACCCTCCTTTTTAGGAAAAGCAAAATCGTGATTTTCGATTGTTGCCACTTCATGTCTTCAAACTTGGAATAGACACGCCAGGGCCAGCTCGTAATATGGCGACTGCATTGAGAAGGAGTGCTGCTAGGAAACGCATAGCGCAAGATTAGCTCGGCAGGGCTGGGCCTGGAGAAATAAAGCTCGAAAGTGATGCGCGTAGTATAAGGAGTGCCCTCAATGTACGGGATTGTAAAAAAGAAATGAAAGAAGCTTATCACTGATACCCAACTACAGGTGTGGTATTAGAGGTTGGGTCTCTAAAAGGCCCGAACATCTCAGCCTGGTGGACACTGTGAGAAAGCAGGAAAAATGCAGTCAATCTATTCACCGGAGTAACCCGTGCTGGCAGCTTTAGCAGTTGCGACGCGCGTGGAGGTGTGTGCTTGGACTCTTTCCTTGCAACAGTAAGGAACAGTTTTCAAGATGGGTAATAGTGTGGGTATAAGACTATGCTTCTGCACGCTAACAGTGAAAGGGTCACTAAATATGTGGACGAAACCAAGCTGCCTTGGAACGCTGCAAAATCTGGAGCGCCTCCAATAAGGATTTTCCTCAATTTTCGATGGCCTAGCTCATTTCAAAGTCCGAGAATTGACTCATTCGACGACGGCCGAGTCCTTTCGTAAAGAGTAGAACATAAAACATAGAAACTACGGGGATGATAGTCTGCTTCAAGAAAAAAATGAGGTCCAGTCCTTCACCACGATAGCGCTAAATCGCCCACCGCAAAATACGCTCTGTAGAATCCATTCAGAAATGGCTCAGAAGTTTTTGCTATCCTTTATATAGCCCAGGTACATCTTTCACGAACCACCAATTCCCCGCTTTTCAACATAGTTCTTGGAGGAGAAATCGCGTTGAGAACTGAGGCATGTCAAATGCGCCTTCCTACAGCTTTTAGCCTATAATAAATTAAAGATCTATAGGAAGGGAAGTTCTTAGCATGGGTCTGATTGAGAACAATCTGCTGGACATAGCAGTTTTTATTTCGAACAAAAAGATTGTGTTTCAGCAAAGTTGTGGTGCTTCAAAATTAGGGGGTCAAAACGGCGGATACTTTTTGACCGACCTAATAGTACGTAGTGAGGGGTCGTGTCATGCCCCCATTAAAGAGGGAGCTATTTGATTTTGAGAATTGGAGAACGGGCCTGACCCTGCCTGCAAATAAGGCCATGGAATTTCTTGTTTGTCACGAGAAACCCCTTTGTTGGAATCATTTCAGAAGAACCTCGTCTCTACCGTGCCTCAGGGAGATTCCAGAAGAGGGTTGTTGCTGCTGCTCCAATTCATGATGTGACGACAGTCCCTCTTCCTTCCGTAAATTCTGGTAAATTTGCGTATTCGACATGCATACTATAGCCCTTCTTCAGTAATTCCATTTGTAACTCCAAGTTGGCATACATTAGAGTTTAGATACAACAGCTATGGCTTCGCTTAACTATGATGAGGATACTCACCATTTGAATAAGATGACAGAAGATAACAAAATAATGGAAGAGGCAGCAGAGGTGGGCCTTACTGGTCAGGTGCTACCGGCTCATCGCTAAGTTATTGCTCGTTTCAGTATGCGAAGGGTCTCGAGCGGACAACAATCGCGGTACCGGGAGACGAGGATATGAGGACCACCGTCACACCCACGGCTATTTCTCAAAATGTACCGGCTATCATTACAGTATGGTGTCACTCCTGGTGTAGGATAGTTTTCATTGACTCCATTGTATTGGTTAATTTAGCCTCGCACTCAGATTGAAGAGTCAAAGCAGCAGTTCAAGCAACCGCCGCCGGCTTTCCCTCAGGTACATATTTTTCGACAAATTCGGCGTTCCCACATTATCCTATCCACATCATCTTTTCGTGACCTTGATTCTAATGCCTGTCCTTGAAGACGCCCACTCATGTCTTCGGTGACGCTCCACGTATCCATTTTCTGTTGATCAAATTGCCTTCTTGTGGGATTTTTTCGTCTTTACGGCACTGTACATATGCACCTACCGCAGTCGCTCACCTACTCTCCTTTGACGTCGCTCGCAGAGGGTACCACCTATTCCCTCCATTTCATTGTTCAGTGGCCGTTGGAAGCCTGGGCCCAATTTGGCTCCTGGGGGCAGTTCACATGACATAGCGAAAACTCAAACATTTCAACTTCTCACGCATGCCAAGTGATTGCCCTCACCCACCCTACGCTGGCTACACTTTCTCCTGGTTCACGGATTCCTCCTGCTCCACACTGAGGTAAATGAACATGCCACGCGCCGCGGCGGCGACTGCCCCCCCCCCGAGCCACATTGCACCAAAGCCTGGTCCTAAGATCCGCTCCCATAGGTGATGGAAATTTCCTCCTCATCCAATCAAGTGTAATCACAGCATGATTGGTTCCGCACTTTATCCAAGGCTCGTGAATTTGATGCTTTTCTTATGTTGGACCGTTACTCGACTTTTGTTGGCCCATAAGATGGCTACATGAGCAGTGGCTTAAGCTGTTTTACATGCTAGAGTACCTTGTCTGCACCTTCTTCCATTTTACGACAATTTGTCAGAAATGTGGTTGATCAGGATGGACCCAAGACCAAGACTATCATTGTCTGCGAGCTTTCTCATCGCTTACCATTCCTTACCCCTTCATCTCCTTCATGAACTAAAATCGTTTTCAATAATGATATTTTTGAAATGTCGTGAATCTGAGTCATGTTTACTTCCAATTACAGCAACCTCCTATCGGTAGACCTCAGCAGGATATCTTCACCAACACAGTTAGCGCACAGGCAAGTGCACTCTCAATCTTATCCTTCCAATAGAGAACATGTGGCGCTTGCTTTAGATAATTGAGCCGTGTTTTAATTCCTACAGCCCTTCGGTAAAAACTGCAAGGTAAAGAATCAAGAACAAGTTCACTCGAGTAAAACCTTACTGAATAGTGGAACAAGTGCAACATGATCACTCCCATTTTTTGTAGTTCGCACCAGAAACCGACTTTCACGTCTCCAACTTTAGTTTTATCCAAAGATGTTCACAAGTGTGAAAAAGCTCTAAGACCAGCGCATTCTGTATCATAGGAGTGCATTGTTTCCTCAAAGGTAAACCCCGGGATTAGCCCGACTAGTAGGAAGGTAACGAGGGAAATTGTAAGGTCCGTACCTACCTAGATCACTCCAGCTTCGTCGCGAAAATTGCGCGGTTAGGGCGCTAATCCTTACGGGCCTCCAACCAACGCTTCCCACCCACCGCGAGATGTGGTGAGATCAGCGTGCATTGATGTAGAGATCAGCGTGCTCTCTCAAACGACGTGCTCTGATTTTTCTTTGATCGTCCTGTCTCGCCATCGTACCACATCCGACCTTATTGAAAGTCTTTAATTTCAGCGTTCAAGATTTCTCTTGCTCTCCCTTTCCACTTCCAGGTCGTTCCGCAGCTAAGCTATTACTACAGAGCACTGATAGCACCAGTTCGATCCACGAAATCCGGGAGCCACAACGGTTCACGTGAGGCTGTGTTTATGGCCTACCTCTTCGTCTATAACAGGTCTCAGCTGGATGAGCCTTCTTCCCAAACTGTCTCATCGCTAGGTCCTTAGAAAGTTAGTAAGGTTGGCCTCAGAAACATCTGCAACGGGTAGGAGCAGTCTCAGCTGAATGGCTTGACATTTTAATCTAACCGGACTACTTTGGGCTCAGCGAAGATTCGCGCACATAGTGTCACAAACGGCTGGCCGAAGTATTAATCTAGCCACTCGGTGTCACTGACTGTGACCCGGGAGGTGAAACTCCAGTTCGGGGGGGCCACTCCATTGCTATCTTATCCGTAGTACTAGAGAGCAGTTCTTTGGGCTATCGAACACTACGGATAAGATAATAAGTGAACGACTCATTTCGAGCGTACTTTTGATAAGGACCGGTGGATGTCCTACATTCCACACTACCTGCCCACATCCCATCCACTTTTCTGCACAGGTGATCCACCCTGGAGCTCCTGCACCCTTAGCCCTTTGCGGAGGTGTCCTTTCTCCTGGTCCAGGACCGTTCCCTTGGGTCATGGCAGGCGGAAATGTGAAAACGTTTCAGGGTTTCTCACCCATTACACCAATATTTATCAGAAGTCTACTTTAAATGAGTCGATTACGTGTCGTGAGCGTAATAACTTCCGCACACCCTCCCGCCGAAAAAAAAACACGAACACCCATCTTATCCTTATCTTTGAGTATGGAGAAAAAATGGATGAAATCAAACACAGTGGCCCCCCCCAAAAACTGGAGTTTCACCCCCGGTTAATGACTTACTGCCGTGACCTGAAAACTATATTAGCGCAGGTTGTCTCATAAGTCAGCTAAGCTTTTATTCAATCAAAATATTTCATTCTAAAATACCTATGCTCTTACCATCGTGCTTATGCTACCCTATTCGAAAGGAGGGATTTGGTCTGACTCTATCAGGATGTTCATGTTTCTATCCTTCACCTTGCTGTTCTGTAGTGTTTCATCGAATTTTTGTGCCTGCGAATCGGGAGGTCAGCCGACGAAAAATTGACCAACGACAATTTATCTGTAACTGTATATATATTCTCTTGGGGAGAAATCGAATCAGATTATCTACCTTACATATTGTACGATCCATTTGGGTGAACATACACATTATAGATAGGTTCCCCAACAAGTCGCGTTCATTCATTTCCAGACCTGGTTTTTCAACCAGAACTCGACGGTCGAGCACCATTACCTGAGATCTATGTAGGTCGAAATTTTTTTATAGCCGAACACATTGAAAAATCAGTAGAATTTGAAGAACAAGTCATGACTAAGTTAGGAATGTACGCCTGGTTGATTTTCTCATCTTCTCAGGGATATTTTTTCAAAGAAATGCGGTCACTTTCGTGGATAAAGCACCTTATTCCTAAACACCTAAAATTCGAACTAATTCCCAACAAACATAAAAACAAAACAAATGAGCGAATAGAGCAGAAGAAGTGCTCACAAAAGGAACACCACTCGATATGAAACAATGGCGTTTACGAGGAACAATTTTAATTTGAAAATTGCTATGGCTTATCGGTCAGCCAATTCGAAAAGAAACACGGCAAAGCTTTTTCGGCAACCTAAGGTGGAATGTTTAGAAGAGGTCATGAGTAAGTAGAGGGTACATCATTGATTGATTTCTCCCCAGGGAAAATAAAGTTAGAGCTAGTTGTCGGTTTGGTCAATTTTTGTCGGCTGGACCTCCCATTTCGCAGAAATTTGAAAACCCTGGAACAGAGGTGGAAGAGAACATAGCATCTTGTAGAGCAGACAATTCTCTTTCGAATGGTATATGAATCGATGTAAAAGCATGGGATTTAGATGAAAATTTTTTGGTTGAAAAAAAGCGACACTATTTATGAGACAACCTAATACAACAGATCCGCTGAGTAGTTCGATATTGTGGTTTGAACTCAGCAAATTATTCATGAGGGGGCAAAAAACGCGTTGGGCCTTCAGATTTACAACGAAGTGTTAATTTCATACATTGTCTTCTATGGTATCTAAAGAAGAAGTATAATATAACACATAACAAATATACAGGCCAACGCGGCTGAGTCCATGCTGCCGCCAAATCCCATGATTCCAACATCGAACGCTCTTCAGAACGCTTACCAGCCCGTGAGTTGGACAGATATCTTCCTAACTCTTTGGTGTATTTAAGAAGCTTTGAGAAGCGAAACTGAAAACGCTTTCATTTCAGCCTGCTCTCGGCCAAGCTGGTGCTCCAGTTATACAGCCATTCACATTGCCACCAACCCAAAGCCCGACGGTAAGTTTCTTCTTTCAATCAGATGTGCCATTCTGCCACTAAATCAGTTTCAGCCTATGTTTCCTGGTTTGATTGCCCCTCAACTGACCGTACAAGTGCAGCCAGGCATTCCTCCTTCTGGTGGCGGTACCTCTCTTCGAAATGTTCCAAATCCGGCTGCACCCCAGCTGGGTCCCATCCAGCAGCTCCCACCTGGTCTCCATTTCCCGCAAGGGCAGATGCCTCAAGTGCCAGCAAGGCATTTTGCAGGCGTTTCGCAGCCTCCAACGCCACCTCCTGTTGTTCTGCCAGGACAGACTGCTCTAGCTGGACAAGTTCCGCCTGCCCAGGTAATCTTTATAACCATAAAGTAAGATCAATATCTCAAAGCGGAGTCTGAGACATTACTCACTTCGGATGCACTAGCGCGGCATCCCAACATTATATGCGATTTTGAGTTTCGTTATTTTGATCAGTGAGGCCAGATCTCCAATCCCAACGTTTTCTGTAGGCGTAATTTTCGACGTGAGACGACAAAGTCACACGACTCTTTCAGGGCGCAGCGCTCGGCCTTCCTGCGCCTGCCGTGTCTCCTCCTCCTCCTTCACCTCCGCGCGTTGAGGTTTGAGAAATTTTTTCATGACGCCTGTGCCTCATGAGAAGCGCTCCTTCTTGTTGGAGAAGGAACATTCTCCACATTTCTCAATCAGCTGGCTCAAAGCGTTTGCAAAATTTTGTTGACATGTTGAGGACCGTCTGTCATATCACACTCTCAAACGTAGCAAACCTAGTTTTGCTTTGTTTATTTAGCGTTTTTCGAGTTCCGAGACCGTCTATGTACTTCGACGGGTCTGAAAAACAATTTGCTCGTCACTGATGGAATCTTTGAAGGATAAATGGCTGTTGATGAGAAAATACGAAAAGTAAGGGTACCGCAATACACGCACAACGGCGATCGTCAATGGGTTGAACGAAGTGGAGCTTTCCTTCATTTTCGTGCTCAACTGGCCTTCAACAACAAGTGGAACTTGTTCGCTTCACAAACTGAAAAATCGAAATGGCGAAGGCCAAATGACGCTCTCTTGGATCGAGCTATGCACCAACGATTCGTTGGTCGTCCAGGATCGGGGGGGGACCCCCCTTTTTTCTTTTGGCGGAAATTTGGGCTGTGTCGACTAGGAACCACACCACAGAAGCAGTCATGATGACGATTGTGGTCGGTGGTCTACGGAGGGGCGGGGGGAACCCTCCAAGGCTGATGTGTTTGTGAGGGGTTCGAAAAAATTCTTGGAAAAGTGCAAACGCGACGGTTGACCGTCTGCTGGCCCCTTGTGAATGTGAAAGCGACGCCACTCTTCATTGCTCCATCTCCTTACGATGCACCACTATACTGGTGATTAGATTTCAATATAGGCAGGGATAGCCGAGTGGTTAAGAGGTTAGACTCATGTCTGCACCTCTGAAAAACCGCGAGTTCGATCCCTGCCGAGGCTTAAAACCATGCCTTGCAAAAATTGCAAAAATGGTTCTAGTACCAGCGTCAGGCCCAGGTTGACAGGCCGGCTGATGAAGACCCCAGTCACACCAAATATGTCTAAAAGTCGCAAAAGAATCAGGTATATCGTAAATTACTATTTCAGATCATTAATGGGCAAGCAGCAAACTCTTCACTGGAACAGTTGGGATGCGGTTTTGACTGGCTGACGAACACCTGCAAGGATGTGTTTGGAATCGGATGGTGAGTGCTCCTTTCTGGTACTCGAGATCTTTATTATGTTATTTTTTACCATTATTGATATAGGTGTGGGCAATGTCACGACTTCGGCAATATTTTCGTGCACGACTGCAAATGCGTACGACCACTGATTGTCTTGCCACCTCGACAACCTCCTCGGTCACCGCAAATGCTGTTCAGCATGATCTAAGGACTCCTCACATATTGCTAAGTAGTAGGTAACTCTGCACAAGCTGGACACATTCTCTTGAAGGACCGGTGCTTGTCGGCTTCTTCTATGCTATTAGCCTTGCTGTAATAACGGTTCCGCCACAACGGCCAATTTCTGTGCTTTCCTGATATTGAGAGGTGATTACTGCTATTTTCATTGATACCGCCGTTGATCTCGTGTTGTAGATAGAGGTTGAAATTTGAAATAAATAAATTATCAAAGCGATTCACTGGTGTGCGCCATTTTGGTCGACAAAGATTATCAGCGCCGACGGCCGCGTTCCGGCTGACCCTCCTTATCACTAATTTACGTCCCGTTACCGTCGAACGAATTGCGAGTCATGATGCCGCTGCTGCCAATTCCATAGTGGGAAGATCTTTGTTCTCGCCCTCTCAGCTCGTTCATGAAATTCTCTGCACAGTTTCTGTGCACCTCACTTTCACTTTGATGTGGTCTTGCCTTGTTTTTTGTCGAGGATTGTAGCTGACTAATTCAAATTTGCCCATAGCAATACTATGTTGAGAGCAAAATCAAAAAGTCGTAGCGATAAGCACTGATCTCTGTTTTAGGTGCAGTCAAGGTACCAAAGAATCTAAGGTTTCTCCGACGAAAATTCCTGTGGCAGAAGCTCACATCCTGCTCTGTCTCGTTTTCAGTTTCTACTCTTTAGAATTTTTGAAATTGTAATATAGAACTAGGTTCGGCCTCAATTTTTTGTTTTTCATTTCTACTAAGCTTGGTTAGTTTAGATAGCTTAGTCTGAATCCCTGTTAAAATATACTAATTAGGAAGTTGGCTCACATTCAGCTCAGGTGACTATTTTGATAGATTCGACAACGCGAGTTTCGGTGTACTTGGTCATGTGGGACCGACGCGATTTTGCGACCGCATTTGTCGCGGTATACATACCCGCACGGTCCAACAAGGCCCGTTTTTGGAAGCTCGAACGTATAAACAACTTTAGAGAGCGGTGACTAAGTAAGTTAGCTTACATGATAAAAGCACAAACAAGTGGCTCCTCCAGCAGAAGTTTCGATTGAGTAAACGCCTATTTAGGGTTACAAAATGGATCAAATTGAAGACCTTGTTGAAGAGTGTTCGTATACGTTTTTCTACTATAAAAGTTGGAACTTCTTACAACTTGGCAATTTATCGTTCTCAACGTTTTGGCCAAACATTCAAATGCCATTCACAATTTTACTTCTTTCTTAAGAGTTAGTGTGAGTTTGAGCTGAATTGAAAAGTTCACGAGTTTTGGAAAACCTTTGTTAAACTGAAGCATATTAACATGGACCACAACGTTTATAGTTATATCAATATCCGATCTATAAAATAGAAACAAAAACTTCGGAAGAAGTCGTGCATCTGCGAAAAAAAAATGATGGAATGGGTGCGGGAGACATCCCCACACCCATACGGTGGCCTGCAAAGCGCGGGATATATATCCCCTGCGCTGTCGTCAATGTGTTAGGGTGGCTGTTTCACTAGCTGAACCTCCTTTGCCATTAAGGATTAAATGCTATGCATTTACAAACATACATTCTGTGAAGCATAATTGAATCGTACAGAAAGGAGAGCTTTGTCGCACTGTAGGCATTAAAACTATGAACAAAGCTCACTAGCTAGTAATCAAGCCCCGTTCACGGATCTATCCACGGGCTACAGCCGTGCAACGGAAGCGTTGAAGGCATAATCCAGAAAGAGTTGTGAGTAAATCCGTCTGGAAGATAGAGTAAGACTGTCCACGAAGGCCGCTGATTTCCCGTCCCCCGAACTGAAGTGACGAGAGCGTAGGAGACTTATCAAGACCGCTTCGACCGTTTCCATTTTCTCTCGTGCGCAGCATATTGATGTCTACACCCTCTCGCCTGTTGTGCTTTCTCGCCTGTCCTCCCCCTCTTCCGTACACAGTCTCTCACTACCTTAGCAAAAAAAATGAACAAGGTCTAATTTTAATGCTTCCGACTCATAATTTTCCTTTCTCCTTCACTGTCGGGGCATTTCGATTTTGCGGTATTGTAAACAAAACAAGATTGGAAACGAGATTAATCCATGTTGTCAATAATTATGAAACGCTCAGATAAAATGCTGAAGGTTCCAGTTTTGATGGATCCTCAGAGATGTTCCACGCGTTCTACTTCAGTCTAAAATCCTGGTGGCACATGAACACGATTTGGCCTATCTAATATATTAGGTTGGTCCATAAGTCTTGCAACAAACTACATTTAATGCTAGAAATTTTTGTGAGAACTCCGAAAAATCCGCAACATGTTTGCTGACGTAGCATCCACCTTTGCAATTTCAGCCAAATCCAGCTCGTTGTCTCGCTACTTGTTTTGGATATATTTGTTGATATTACATCGATTTCGCGAAAAGGTCTTCGTGCCCATAATTTTTACGAGTACTGCTTGGAATGTTCCGCAAGTCATGCTACACCAAGGATTAGCCAGAAGATGGGCGAGGGCACGCTCTCTCAATTCACGGTGCACGGCGCTTCACTCTGCTCAGCGTTGACTTTTTTATTTGAAAGATCCACACTCCAACCACCCCGTGACTGGACAATCACGATGCTCTATCTGACGCTGCTGAAAAGGGATCTGGATAGACTATCGATCATTTGTCAGATAGCAACTCCGATGCAACAAGGCACCGAAAATATTGTTTGGATCCCGCATGCTTTGAGACCGAATCAGCTCCAAACACGACCTGACATCGATATGTCAAGTCGACTCTATTATGGATTCTTTGATTGAAGATCCATCATATTTGCCGACGACGACGAGGAGGTACAGAGTGCTAACCAATAAACAAACTGCGACAGTCTAGCTCAAATACTTTTCGGGATTTATACTCAAGTTCAATCTCCGTAAAGAGCCTTCTTGGACTTTGGGTGGAATACGAGAGTAGTTGGGCTGTGAAACCCCTACATGTAGATGTCTCAGTCAACGCGTAAGTCAGCCGTCCACAGCATGATTGCAACGCTTTTAATACAAAAGAAAAACAATGCAATGTTTGCTTTTTTATGACACCCTTGAACAATCTCTTGCTAAGAATACCAGAAACCTTTTCAGGACTCTCGGACGACCTATAGCGCTGCCCCGGTGCCAAAGGAGCTGCTTACGCTGCTCCCCGACTCTTGACCACCTCTTACACAAGGGAAGGATACCAGGTCGAAGTGGCCATTTGTAACGAGACATACACCACTAGATGTGTTTTTGGACGCTTATCTCAAATCTGCTCTCCAAATCTGCGAAACGACTCTTTGAACGTAGTTATGAAGCGAGATAGTGCAGTGGCAGCGGTGCGGCTCAACGAACGAGAGGTCGTGAGTTCGAGTTCTTGGCGAGTTCCACTTTTGCTTTTCTTGTGAACGTTGTTTAAGGGACTCTTATCCATGCTAAGTTATCAGCGATTGCCTATAGCACAAGTAAACAGAGCTGGCGAAGAGCTTCGAGCACTGTGCGCGTCATTTGCAAGTGACCGCCTCTGACACCCGTAGCGCACGCGTAAGGCAATTTCGTGCCAAGCAGATGCGATATTCGTGTTCAGCGCGTCGAAACACCCCTTTCAACAACATTTGGTCCAAATCTAAAATTTTGACTTGAAGTCGAAAATGTGGGCAGTCATCTATCCATCAACCCACTGTCAGAGCCTGATCGTGGGATTGAATTAAACTTTCAGTCATTATTGTGAAAGAGATATAGTTGCCTGCTCTACTTGCTCGTGCCATCCGAAGATTAATATGATGTTTTTTCACGTACACGCTCGCTGCCCAGGAGGAGCAGGAGGGTAGTGGCTGGGGCTAGGGATAACACCTTCGACTCATTGTAGACCGAGTTTCGAAATTGGGTCCAAATGTCAGCTTTCTAGAATTAAGCCTTCAAAGATAGTTTGGTCCGTTGAGCAAGCATCTCCCATTTGTTTAGCCCATCGTCGGATATACGTCACTTCCGTGGCGTAGAAACACCCCGCAGTGGTCGAAACATTACGAAAAAGTGGAATGCGTTAAACAAACCCCTCTAAACATGCGTTAGCTTTGGACGCAGTGAAAATTTCAACACTGAATAATTTTTTATATTTAAATTAGACCTAATTACAAAAAGCAAAAAAAACCATGCCCAGCAAGATCCCATCCATGGTCTACCACTGGAAGCCGCCAACACTACCACTCGGCCAAGCCGCCGCTGGAAGCCGAGCTCTGCCGGAGTCTCTTACAGTGGGCTTTCATTCGAAACAACCTCCGTAACACTTTTCAGAGAATCGTTTCGCAAATTTGGAGAGTGGATTCGAGATCAGCGTCCGAAAACACATCTCTGAGTATAGGTTTCATTACGGATGGCCACTTCGACTTGGTATCCTTCCCTTGTTAGATGGCAATCTCGTCCTAACCACCATGATGTCAAAATCGACGTCCAATTTTTCTTCAATCAGAGTTAAGTTTTACAAGAGAGGCATCGAACAGCTTCTAATGCGTTGGCAATAGGTTGTAGATATTGATGGTGTGTGCCATGCTGGATGAATGGGAACAAAAAAATAATAAAAATATTAGAATTAAAATTCGGCCAGCTTATTGCAAGACTTACGGACCATCCTAATATTATATTGGATTGTTGCATTATAATGTCGCTTTGAACGTACACAAATTTTTGGAACACAATCAGTTGCATCTCAAGAACAATGAGAAGACTGCACCTTATTTGTGTTAGAGAACGATATGAAACACAAATAAAGTGGCATTGTGCCCTTGAAGATAGTACACCCTGTGCGCATGTAAATTGGACACCCAGATTCTGAATTTCTTGTGGTCACGGGATCAGTTCTCCTTCAGAACGTGCCGCGTGGACTCCGATGCGCAGCACATGGATGGAGTGTGACAAACCCTGTTCGGTTGAGATGTCAAATGTCCCTCAGTCTGGTCTCGCACTTTTTTGCCGGTGATTTTTTTCGTGAAATGCAGCTTTTCTGTCGAGAAGTAACTTCAAGTGATCATCGTTTTTCTCTCTCGCCGATCCAATGCATGTTTTGATGTGGGTCAAATTTTGTTTAACGAAAGGCCTACCGTGACCGGCGACTGGATCCCCCATTGGTAGATGTCGTGGAACATTCACGTGTACACATGGAAACCCGGTCAGTCATCGTTCGAAAGAAAAATTCATGTAAAAATAAAAAATGATATGGGCAACGAGTAGTCGCTTTTGTACTCGTAGATTTCCTCTTTTGAATTAATGCCTAAGTACCTTCGAGGGTCCGAAGGCAGCAAATTGTGGTGAAGCCAAATCTGTGCGACATTTATAATGCAACAGCCCTAAATTAACCCTTTGACGACAATGGCACCCACTGGTCGGTGCCACTCCGTTTGCCCGTGGACAATGGCACCCAATGGTGGGTGCCACCTTAGAATTTTTCATTGCGCCTTCAAAATATTCCTAACATTCCAGTAATTACAAGCAAACTTACAAATTAGTTGAGCAGCATACATTCATACAAATGTTCAATAAAATCTTTATTTATATATAACCAGTTGGCGCCGCACGCATTGCGCGCGCAACACAGATCTGCGGCGAATTTTGATGGTGCGACGAAAATTTTCAAATTTGGCTTGATACACCACGAATATCTGAATTCTCAGCTAAATTCTATCCGCTCATCATCGACGGCTTTTTCCCGGTCCGGACTGCTTCCGGACAATAAATCTCGTGGCAAACTCCGCCTACTTCGGTGCGTGCCCTCCGCCCACCAATAGCATTTGGCCCCCTTCCTTTCGCCGACCTCTACCCCTTTTTTCACCGGTCTCTGGGACCTCTTGGAACCAAATTACGACACTTTTGGCAAACTCCGCCCACTGATAGAAGTTGACCTCTTTTCCCTCGCCAACCTCTAACCCCGTTTTCCCCTATCTCTAGGACTTCTTGGAGCCGAGTTCTGAATTTTCGTCGCAAACTCCGCCCACTTTGGTCAAGCCCCGCCCACCGATGACAGCTGGCCTCCACTCCTCCACCCACCTCCATCCACCTTTTTCCCTGCCTCCGAGACTTCTTGGAGCCGAATTACAATTTCGGCGCAAACTCCGCCCACATTAGCGCACGCTCCACCCAACCGTAGCAGTTAACTTCTCTTTCTTTGCTGACCTATATCCACTTTTTTCCCGTTCTCCAGGACTTCTTGGAACCAAGTTATGAATTTTCCTGGGTAACTCCGCCCACCTAGGACTTGCTCCGCCCACCACCAGTAATATTACTGCCTCCTGGACCTTCTGAGCCGAAGTTATTAACTTTCGTCGCAAAACTCCGCCCACTTTGGCCCTTTTGGGATGCGGACACGCATTCTACTTCCATTTGTACATTCGCAGTGGCGTTTGAATGCGATGTGGCCTATACAATGACTTGCGGGGGCCAGCCGATGTTCAAGTCAGTGTTTTTTATCCTCCCAGACAAGGTTGGCCCAGGCGACTCACTCCAGGATTTGATCCCAGGATCGCTCGCGTGGTAAGCATGCCACTTGCCACTACACCACTTCCGCCCTGTAGTATAGCACACATACGATCAAAAATTCGATCGAAATCGATGGTTTTAGAACAATTTTGTTGAAGGTACATACAGCCGTGCGTCCAAAGAGGCGTGGTCCCATGAGCCCGCTGCGTGCAAATCCGGATTGCCGTCAAAGGGTTAAGGGACAGCCCATGTACAAGTCAATGTTTTTATCCTATCGGACAAGTATGGTACCGATTGATCGACCGAGAGATAGAAGGCTAGGTTGACTTCGGCGAAATCGGTTCCGTGAACGGCAGTGTGCCACTCACTTCCCCCATATTCCTCAGATACGGCATGCTAGTAAACAAAATTTCCGGCTGTCAGCTTCACCACAAAAAACACCCGTGAATCTGTTCTACACGGGTTGAAAGACGGGACAATAGAGTGCGCATTTCAATCTGACGATGGCTTTACGTAAGCGGCAATTCACGTGTGTCTACATAGTGCTACCGGATATCTTAGTGTCGTTTTTTCACCACGAGTTTCGGACCACCAATATTTTAATTCAGAATCCAGGAGTGAAACAGCATATTCATCGAATGACTCATTAGCACTTTCCCATTTACCAGTATGAGTGGAAACCTCGTACGATTAAAGCTAGGAATTTTTTGAGTCAAGAAAGGGAGGCATCGTTTGAATTCATCTCATAGTCATCCCTTTCACTTGCTAAAAAGTTAGGCCTGGACAAAAAAGTAAACAATTAGTCAGATTAGGGATCTGCACTGTATGAAGAAAGAGTTACAACTTACCAGCTCAGCTGGACAATTTTTCCCGGAGTCTTTTTTGCCACATAGGGTCAAAACGCAACCAATTTTTGAGCACACGTGATTAACAGAATGAAATCACATCATTAGAAATCTTCTGTGCAATCAACTACGTCACCAGCAAGTCACTGCTAAGGTGTCCTACCATTTCAGCACAAGACTGGTGCAGCCCCGTCTCGACTGATTTAACTAGGGCCACCTTTTTGACGACGATTGCGGGCATCACTTCAAAGACTTCACTGTCTTTTGAGAAAACTGTGAAAAACCGATGAGCATTTTAAATGGTAGTATTCCCTCCAACAAATGCAATGTTGGTTTGGTGGGCGGAAGTTGTAGCTCTCAGCAAGAATTTTGAAGCATTTGGTACACACATGCGAATTTGCACACTGGACCCAGGGAATTTCAAAAAAAATATTAGGTTGGCAAGAAAGTCCTGCGACACTTTTTCAATTTTTGATTTTAATTTTATCTTTTTTGTTTACAACTCCTGACCGGTCATATATCTATCATGAGTGTCCACCACTTGTCTTCAACGCTCAGAAAATTTCCTGATGCTCCTTTTCCAAAACCCAGCGGAGTGCGGGTCAAGAAAGGAGGCGACCTCACTTCCGAGTTGGAGTTGATCGTCTAATTATTTCGTTATCAAGATGATGATTAAAGGTCCAGGATAGGTTGCAGGCCTTCATAGCTCGACCAGGGGATTACGCTAAGAGAGGTAAGAAATCTTGCCACAACTCCAGAATTTCTTACCGGGCTTATTTCGGATCATGGTGATTCGCAATGTCATGAAAGAAATGAATATTGTCGCGGTACGAGGGCTCTTGACGAGCTGCCTCGGCCAGCTTCTGGTATTCCACAGCCTAGGCCTCTATCCTACACAATGGTGCCCATAACGAAGGATATGTAGTAGGAGCCTCTGTAAGAGCCCTACCTGTAATAGAGTGTGAGGGACGCTGCTGTGCTTCTTATAAAAATATCAAAAGATCGGAAGCGCTGGTAAGGGTGAAACACGTTGTAGCGGTGAACGACATGCCTGTTGTAACTATTGCAGATAGTGTTGGTCTTCGACACGAATCCATAGTTATGTAGACACTTGTACTAGACAGTGACTCGGAGTGTGGATTTACTAGTGGTCGAGGTTTTTCAAATTTTCTTGGAACTTACTGCAGCACTTATATCCACCTCGTGGATTGAAGCCTCGAGAATGCTCGTAACTCTACCATTTGTAATCATAAATGTTACCTATGGATTGTTCAGAAAAAAAGAAACATTTTAGAAAGAGTGTCGCAGGACTTTCTTGCCAACCTAATATAAAAATTAAAAATAAGTTAACCAACAATAGAAAACGTTGTGAACCAACAATAGAAAACAATAAGCAACATATTTCGCAGTATTTATGAGCAAAAAGGACTTTTTGAAATATTTTGTTTTCTATAGTAATCAGCCCCAAAACTTTGAACTCGGAAAAGCGACACTAAGATATCCGGTATCTAATATGTAGATGGTTCGAAGGCAAATGATCAGTGATACAACCTAATCTCATCGTCAGATCGAAATGAATTGATACGGCTGAAAAACAATTAACATGGTCCGACATTGCTGGCGTTCTCTAGGGAGAACATACGTCTTCTTTGACGACATGCGAAACTTTAAAAAACATGGACGGCCTGCGCCCCCTGAAACTTTCCACGAGGCTGCATCCCAATCCAACGCCCTAAAGAGCCGGCACTTGTGAGAACCAACTTGTTCAAGTCAGACCTATTCCTTTAATATTCTTGATCTCCGCGCCGTGCATATCCACCGACACGCACGTTTCTGAAATCTCGTACATGTGAATATTCCAGTGAAACAATGTTTTCTGGACTGATTTTTTGCACACATTTTCAGGAATCAATACTGGGTCATCACCAAGCCTTCTCGGTTTCGTCTTCCTCCTCTCAGTATGAGGAATGCTTCATTCAGTTCGCATTCCGGACGAAGAGGTTAGCTTTCTTTATTTTTTCACTGCTTCATATTTCTCTTGAATTATGAACAATCGGACATCCTCGTGACTTCTGAAGAGTATCTTAAAATGACCGAAAGATTCTTCATGATCACCTGGCTATGCTATAGCGGCTGCGAAATTCTTGATGAGTTGCATGCGGAGTCTCCGCTGAATGGGCCATGGTCAAATCTAGCGGTTGCTAGCAGTGACCCTCAAAGCAATCTCAAACGACCTCATCAACAATCGTAATTTACACTTTTAAGACTATCGCATCTTTATCTTTCACTCTCAACTGCAACAGAGGGTCATAACAAGGTCTTATAACCACATTAAAAAGCGTATCCTATTCCTGTCTAAATCTACCTAGTCATCCATCGTTGGAAACCCTTTCCTATCTTTCTGAAGTCCTTAAGGACTATACTCCGACAGGATTGTTTTTGCAGCAGTTTCTTGGCTCCTCTCAGATTTGACCGGGAACAGCGGATGCAAGCATCTTAGCATTTGGTCTCCAACCCGCAAAAAAACGCTGTACTGCCATGATTCGTCCTTCTCGCGATGGTGAAAGCTTCGAAGGAGACTAGGGTGATGGTCGGATGTCGGAGACTGACAAAAATTAAGTAAACTTTTGAATAAGCTAAATCTGCATGGACTGCTGAACAGGCCGCTTTGCAGAACGTGATCGACTTTGCGTTTCTAAACATAGAGGTGAGGGTAAAACGCCCGAGGAATTCGACAAGTGGGTGCCACCGATTCTTCTGAAACCAAGTAAGAGATTTTAAAATAGGTTTTAAATCTTCAACGTGTTTTGTTTGAGACGAGGTAGTTGGTAGCTTTTGAAGTTGATGGTCAGAATCGGCAGAAACTTTCCGAAGAAGTATTTTCACCAGCATTTTGTTTTGTTTGTTAACTGCTGTTTCACACCCCCAGTTCGCGTTGCGATTTTAACAAGAATGCCGCTTTGTGAACGAAATTTCACAAGTTGGCTGGGCGAGGATCGAACTCGCAGCCAGGGTCGGTCCACCGTTGGGACTTTTCGGATATTTTTACGTCCCCCCTCTTCCAATCAAAAATGTCACGGCCCATTGTCTTGCTTGTATAGTATTATATTTAATTCTAAGACCACTCGATATCCAACCTCACCCACTTCCCCCCCCAAACCAGCCGTCGAGAGGGAGAGGTACACGAAACCGCATTTGTTTCCCACGCACTTCACTATGTTTGTAATAGAAACACGTCGAATCAAGTTAATCAGTTTATTGTCATTTTGATTACGATGTGTAAACCGAAATTTAACATTATTCTTCAAGTTATTCGTAAGTATTCAACCGGGGTTGGTGGCAAAGACATCGTTATCCTCCGTTTCGTACGTGAACCCTTAGGGACTATTAAAAAGTAATATCTTTCCTCCGCCACTCCAGTTTCACCTCAGTCATTACGATTTCGTGCGACTGCAACAAGTACGATCCCCCTACAAACTCAACAAATTACGACCCCCCCCCCTTGGTACTTTCAACGTAAGGTTGACCCTGTTCGCATCCCTCCTTACCGGACAAGTGAATCCATGTTTCATGAATAAGCAAAGAGTTAGGGGAAAATAGTGCTGCGGTAGCGTATCTTGTACGTGCCTGGCCTGGCAAACGAGTGGTGCGGGTTCAAGTTCCGCGTGGGCCAAAGTTTTGCTCGTAACTCAGCATTTTTGTGAAGTATTATGATGTTCTTATTTTTCACAATGATACCACCTAGCAGGGGATAGGGCCCCAGCACAAGCACGGCGGGCAAATTACCTTTACAATCCGTTTTGCAAACCATTGATCTACTTTGCCTTATTAATCCGTCAATCGC